CCAACAATGTCATCGGACTTTGAATCGTGGTTCGATGAGGAAAGATACTCTCGTTTTTTCACCACTGTTGCCACCCGACCCCACAAATGTCCAATGCCTCTCTTGGAAGAGTTTTCTCCATCACTAGTGATCCCATCCTGTGAATTTTGATCCGACGCGATGGACAACTTTGAGTTGTTTAGGGCCTCGTTAGCAGCCTGGCCAGCGTATTTGTTTATTCTCGCTTTGAGCTCGGTAAGTTCATCTTCCAAACCAATATTCTTTTTCTTCCAATTGTCAATTTCGTCTTCCAGCAGCTGATTGCGTTGTTCTGCGATTTCCAATTGCCGCCGCAGCTCCAATGCTTCATTTTTGTAAGTCTCGGCTTCTCTGGGATTGCTTCGGGTGCCATCGAGTTGGAGTTTTCTGAGTTCCACCTGCAGCTGGTTAATCTTTTCGTCCTTTATTTGAACAGTGTCCGCATGACTTTGCTTCTCTTCATCTAGTTGCTCTGCTAGCAATTGATTTTCTTTCACTGTTTCCGCATTGTAATCGCCTCCCTGTTCCTCCAAGAAGCGTGTTATTTTGTCATTCAGTCGCTGTATCTCAGCATCTTTGACTTCGATTTTGGTCGCCGAATTTTTCTTTTCTCTATTCAATGCTTTCAGTAGCATTCGGTTATCTTGTTCCAGTTGTTTGTTGTCTCCACTACTGGATCCTCTTCCTCCTCCTCCTCCAATTGAATTTTGTGATTTTACCGCAGCTTGCAATCGTTGCAGCTTTCGTTCTCGTTCCTCCAGGTCCTTTTCCTTTTGCTCCAACCGCCGTTCCTGTCGTTCTCGTCGTTTCGATTCAAAATCAGTTTCCTGTTCCTGTGATGGTGCAGCGCCGATTCCTCGTCCAGAACTTGGACTGGCCTCAAAGGCAGTCAGTTGCAATTCCATTTGCTGCAATTTGTCCTCCAACCCAAAGATTTCGCCATTGGCACGTTTGAGTTCTTCCTCCAAATCTTCAGCCTTGTCCAACTGACTTTCTACTGCCTTTTCCAACGCCTCCAGCTTTTCGCCTCGTTCCTTTACGGTCAAATCTTTTTCGGATAAATCCGCTCTTAGTTCTCGGACTACAGTCTGGGAACGTTGCAGTTCCAATTTGAGATCTCGCTTTTCCTTGTTCAATTTCATGGCTTCGGTTTGAGCATCCAGTTGCTCCTGTTTCAGTTCGACAATCTTGGACTGCAGTGCCTCGACCCTTTGTTGCATTTGAATGTCGGCATTTGCCACTACCAAGGCATTCGACATGGATTCGGCAATCCGATCCCTCCGTGAGACTGACCGTTGACTTTTGTTGTCATCGTCTTCGTGCAGTTGACTCAGCACGGCTCTGCGACTTCTGTTGGCAGTTGATTTGCGACTGCCCAGGGATCGTTTAGACTTGCGTGACTTTTTGGACCCTTCGTCACTGCCACAGTCAGCAGGCATAACAGGTTCTTTGGACTTTTTCCGAACTCTTCGAATCTTATTTTGACCATCAACAGTGCTTCGTCGTGGTCGTGCTTCGGCGAATCCGGATGCATCGAATGTACCCAGAGAGGCTCGCCGTCTCGGTGGTACGGTGGCTTTTCGAGGTTCTCGTTGACTTAGGGTTGGACTATTTGGACCTAGCGATCCACTTCTCGACTTCCGTCGCCCTTTCCTTGCCGATTTGGACGACTTTGTTGACTTGTTGTCGGCCTCATCAAGTTCGTAAGTGCCTTGATCTCCCAAAACCGAACGTCGCATTAGTGAACGAGGCATGGAACGGGTGCTCATGGTGACTTTTGGCAACCAGATCCCAGTTGAAGGTCAGTCGTTTATTCCTCTATTCTCTCAGTGCTGGCCTAATTGTACTTCAGTGATGGTTGGCAAGCACGACAGGTTGTCTTCCGACCCACAAAATCAGAAAAGGAAATGGATCCCAAAACCGGTAACAGTTTCGCTGGGATGAATGACCGTAGTGCAAGACGTCCTCGTGGCAGTCCCGCTTTTTGAGTCGCGATCTTGGTCGCTCAATAATATTTCAGACTATGTTTTTCGCACGCCATAAGCCATATGTAACAGATCTCCGCCAAACCGGATATTGGACAGACCTTAGAAAGGGTTTTAATTGCTAGTGACGTCACCTGCAATCGCAATGTCTGACATAGACACGCTGATCACTAAAATAACTTTGGGAAGGTATAAAGGAATTAGTTTACTCAATCCGTTGCTGCTCTATTCTGCCAGCATCCAAGAATCCACCAACTCTTCTTCCTCCTGACTACTGTTTCGTCGATGCTCGGCAGCTGTTGCTGGGAAAACGGAAACAGGCAAAATCATAGATGAACTGCCCATATTAGTGTTAGCTCGACCAGTCACTGGATCAACCCCCAAATTCAGTGCCTCGGGTGATACCACAGCGTCTGTCATGTTGTGCAGACCGCTGGAAGAATCGGGAGTCAACATGGATTGGCTGGCAGAACTGCTGCGTCGATGGTCCAACACAGCTGCATCGAGAATCGAAGACTGACGGCTGGCCTCACTCTCCGCTTCAAAGGCAATTCCATAAGCAGAGGCTCGGGACTGGCCTTCAGAAGCCCAAGGATTGCTATAGATGGCGGAATTCCTGGCCAACAAGGAAGGATCTTGTCGAAAGGACGACTCCAAGGGTCGTTCTTGTTCGGAAACCGATTCGTTCAGAATGCTACCCAAGAAATCCATGACATCAAACCCATTGTCTCCTGACGTATCAATGGGTGCAGGTGGTGGTGGTGCTGGTGCTGGGATAAAGCCAGTTTCCAAGCTGGTGCGTCGGTGCTGTTGGCTTCCATCAACACCAATCCCAGCACCAGTAGATATAAAAAGTGGTTGGTTTGCAGTTGCTTCCGCTAGAATTGGGATAGAGGTTCCTAAATCGCGACGACGATTGTACAATATATCGCTTTGGCTATCGCTTTGGCCATCGCCTTGCAGAAATGCCAGCGCCGGAGAAAGAGCCGTTCCAGAACGTTCAGATGGCAACACAGAGTCCAGCATGGGTCCCAAAGTAGAAGGCAGTGCAGATGGATCTTGATTGGGAGCACTGCTGTCTGCCTGGAAACCGGGTGGTGGAGCAAGTCCAGGTGGAGGGCGGAGCAACGGTACTGCGATTTGTTCCTTGGCATTCTCGTCTGAAACTGCAGCAACGGCTTTTGCTTTCTTCTCTCGCGACTTTAGTGGTGATCCCTTGTTGTCTGATGTTGCTGCTGCTGCTGTTGCGGCCTCCTGTCGTTCCTTTTTGGACTTTTTCTTCTTACGCTTGGATATCTTCTCTGCTTTGGGTTCAGTATCAGTTGTTCGCTCCTTTCTTCCTTTTTCCGACTTCGTAATCTTGTCTTTGGGTTCGGTATCCGTCGATCGCTCTTTCCTTCCTTTCTCAGACTTGCTAGACTTGTCTTTGGGTTCGGCGTCACTCGATCGCTCCTTTCTTCCTTTTTCAGACTTGGGAAGCTTGTCTTTCTGCGACTCCTTGCTAGCACTTTGGCCATCGCTTGCCCGTTCAAACGATCCTCGGGCTGCCTTTTTCGACTGATTCTGAGATTTGCCGCGATCTTTGGCATAAGCTTTTGTTGAAGTCTGTGGAGAGGCACTCTGCGCCTTCTTGTTTCCATCCTTTTTTTCAGCGATCTTGCCTTCTTGTTTTGCCGTACCAGTACTAGGAGTTGAAATGAACTTGGTAGATTCTTTCGCTTCACCTTTCCGAGCATTCTTTTTGCCCCGACTTTTGTTCTCCGCCTCCAATTTCCCGTCTGCTTTGCTTTTTGCATCATGGGAAGTGGTCTTGGTGGTTGTCTTGGAAGCCTTTTGCTCGGATTTCTTGTTTCCTTGTTTTCCTTGTCGTTGCTGCTGCTGTTTTGGCTGTTGTTGTTGCTGCTGCTGTTTCGGCTTGTTGGTAGTTTTATTCTCGGAGTGAATCTTTTTCTGGGTAGGAGAGGAGATGGCACTTTCAGTCTTGAGATCTTTCGAGTTGACAGCTTCCACTTCAGGCTTGAGATCTTTTGAATTTGCAGCCTCTGATTCAGTCATGAGATCTTTCAACTTGACAGACTCCGACACAGGTTGAAAGTCTTGGAGATCATCTACTGCTCCACCAACTGCGACATCGTTGGCAACGACTCCTTCCTCGCTGTCACTACCGAAGTTAATCTCTCCAGGCGTTTGCTGCGCTTGATCGTCCTCCCAATTTTCAGTTTCTTGGACTGAAAATTCTGCTACCTCATCATAATCAGCTACCTCGTCGTCATCAGTTGGCTCATCCTCGGCTGTGCTGTCCTCGGGAGAATCTTCACTATTTTCTTCGTAATCGTCGTCGTAGCCATCGAAACTGTCAAAGCTATCAATTGCTCCGTCATCATAATCCGAGCTGCTGTACTCTTCTTGCTCCGTTTGTCTTTCCATTAACAGCATATGGGTTCTATTCATGGGCGTATCAATCTCATCAGGCGTAATTATACCTCTTGAAGTTGCAGTGCCCCAATTCAAGCCGAGCGGTAAGAGAGGGGCGCCAGTCTTGGAAAACTCAATCTCCCGCTTGGGAAATAATGTATCACTGAGCATCTGAGATTGGCCATTTTTTGTAGCAGTCCCAAGTCTGCCCCGGACAAAGCCCATTTTTTCTGGTGGATCCATTTTACTATACTTATATTGCTCAGTGATACCTTGGCTCATTTGTTCATACCCTATAGATACAAGCTCTGACGGCATCGAATCACTTCTTGACAGGGACCGGTAGGCAGGTAGCCATCGCTGATCAACAGTATTTGGTTTTGGTGTCAAGCGCTTGTTCGCAATTCGAGAAGGGAGAAACATCACCAAGACTTTCTCGAGTTCATACGGCATCGTGATCCATGAGTAGGCAAGCAATGCAGAAGCTATGAGCAAAACGATGCAATCGCATATTCGGGTCATATAGTGGCTGTCTCCATGTGTCCTCTTATGAGATGAATCCGTACGAAGCTGAAATTCGGTCTTATCCTTCTCTGGGAATGCAAGCTGCTGATGACGAACAACCCGAATACCATCTACTCTTGCTGGAACACAACTTAGCATTGCATGCTCAGGCATAAAGTAGCCTACACCAAGACTGGCTGTCCGTAATTCGCTTTCGCGTTTCCGCATTCTGCGGTTTCTTCTGAAGGGGCCATCGTTTGAATCAGTCCTGGCTGGAGCATGAGTGTACTCAACATTTAAGAGGATGGATTCTTCTTCTCTTTTGCAGTCTGCGATATGTTCAATGAAAAAATTCTTGCTTTCCCCAGGAGAAAGTTTAAAACCTGCATGTAGATTATCGACATCCCAATCATTGACGACAAAGCCCTGCTGGGGGGAATCCCAGCAATTCAGTAAACGGAAGCTCCCAAATGTACATGGGTCTGATTCATGATTGTCCTTGGTGTCTGCTAAATAAATTCGACGAATAGACTGCTCCAAATCGCCCGTGTTTTGAAGCACAACTTCCTTGATGTCTGATGTTGGACTCTGCGGACTGTCCGATTCGTTAGGGTCCGCAGGTTTGCTGCTTCCTGAGAAAACTAGTGTAGAACGACCGTTTCGATTTTCAATATTTCCAAACGCATCCTCGTCAAAGCTGGGTAAAGGGTCCAAAAAATCGAGCCTATCTTGCAAGCTTTGTCCTTCAAGTACCACTCTCTCAAGACCAGTAAGCGAATTTTCTAGCAGAATCATGGTTTCAAAGCTTTTCTTTTTGCAATGTTCTTCTGTTGCACTGCCCCAATGAGATGCGCCACTCTGTTCCACAGTTTCACACCCAAGAGCCCCGAATTTTCCAGGTGGCCGAAATAGTATTGGTCCAACTTCTGCTTTTCCGAAAGGTGGAATTACAATTTCGTCCAAAGCAGGAAATGGAATGGCAAAAGCAGTTGGCCCTGCGTTGCCTGGAACGCCACCGGACTGAACATTTGGCTCATCTATCGTTCGAGCCTGTGAATGAGAAAGGTGTTGTTTCCCCAGCAGCGATATTCCTGAAGCAGCAGCAGCGCCAATGGGGCTGCTAACGTGCGGTCCAGCATTCTCTCTTGACATCTTCGAATTGTGTTCCCTGATTCCACATCGCGCACCACAACCGACAACGAAAGCACTGTTCGCATGAAGGGATGGATTCACCAAACTAACCAGCGCCCCTTTTCCGGCCCTTAGCGTTATATTATGATTCGATCTGATCAAATTTCCGTAACCGTCGTCCATGAAAAAGGCCCCACCTCCGTCCCACCAAAGGTGATGAGGACTTGTGTTGTCATTGGGGTCCAGCCTCCCATTCTGAACGTATGGAGGGACAAGTGACTGAAGGAAGCGAGTGCGAATCTTGTCTTTGTCTGACTGGTCGAGCTTGTTGAACGGGTCGCCAAGTCTTGGAGGGGCTGCTAGCCGAACTTTCACCGGAACTGCAGTCGGATTCTCAAGGGGAATCATAGTAGCGATGATCTCACCTACCAGAACTGGCGGAAGCTTCATAACTGAAGGAGTGTGCTCTCCATGATTGGACGATCGACTGCCGCGAAAGAGCGTTGGGGCATTCAATACACTTTGAACTGCCAGGTTGTGCATATACAACGAAAGGCTTTGGTTCTGTGTCGCTGCTTTGCGAACACCACTTCCCCCTAAAATAGCTTCGTATTCAATTGTGGCTCTGAGGCTGGAGCTCAAAACGTCAAGGCCAGAACCTGCCGCCACCCTCCATGCATCCCAAGCTTCGGCAAATACACTGACTAGAGATGGTGTCACTATTCCATCTGAACGAGCTCTTCCAGATTTGAAACCCATTGAGCCGCTTGCAGATGGAAGTTCCCCTTCTTGCAACGTTGCATTCCTTGTGTGATCTTCGACGTATGTGTCTTTCAAAAGTGTCAAAACACGTTCAAAGGCCAAGCTTACGCGATTAGCCCCCCGACCCGAGGGGTCAACAAAAGCCTCGTATCCTCTGCTTTTGGACTGAGAAGAAACCTGTCCGCACCCAGAGGGTTGCAGACTGTCCCTGCTTCCTAACCAATTTAATGCACATTGGAAATACGATGGGAATATGTTGCCATCATCATCGGCCGAAGAGCAAGATACCGCACTATATAACTGACCAATCTGGATGCTTTCGTCAGCGTGTGTCGTGCTATTTCCCGACTGAACAAATTGAAACAACGGGTTGCAACTCTCCACTTCCAAGAGACGGACTTCCCGAGAGAATGTGGATTTCAGCAGCAGTGAAGTTCCCTCGTGTTCGAGGAGGGACATATTTCCTTGGGATTTGGCATGGAGGAAAGATTCAATGTAGGCAGGCGGTATTTTGGGCATCGAATGTTCTCCGACATTCTTGCCATGTGAAGCCCAGTAAAGTCCAAGAGGAACCTCAATGACGGTCAACTTTTCGTCTTCGATTTCCGATTTCACAATTGCATCAACAGGATCATCCTCCACCTGACCTTCTTCTGACACGTACAATTGACCTTGAAGGGCTTCAAATGCGATCAAAATTGGTACGACTTGGCCGAGACTTGTTGACAAGGATAGACCGGAAGCCATGATTTTGGTGATATCTGTATTGAGAAATTCTGCTGACGGCGCTGTCACAACAACTTCGAATCTTGCCGTGCCCCCCGGTGGAATTGATATGATCGGTTTGCCTTGTGGTTCATTGACACCATTCTTGCTGCATGTTTGCAAATGTCTGACTAATGTTTTGTCTGCTGATACCATTAACGGCCCATCCAAGGACGAGAAGTCTAGCACTGTGCAGTTCGTTCTCCCATGTCGTACATTCTTGTTTTGCGATCCATGCAGCTCTGTCGATGAATAGCACCTGTACAACGCACGGAGAAGAGATTCTTTTTCTCCAGCAGCTTCATTGAAAGATACTGCGTCGCGATTGGCGAACCGAGCAGCAAATGATCTCGCTTTTTCGTTTGACAAAAGGAATTGACGGAGCCCTTCCACAGGGTGCCCTTCAAATCTGCCATCCCCAACATTTTCACTTTGAGCTTCAGATAATAGCAGCGGCCCGAGTATGTTATTTCCATCGTTCGCTCCGTGCTGTTCCGACGCTGAGTCTTTGCTCAATACCAAACTCATACCTTCCAGGTCACCACTGTCGATGGTTACTGAAATAGGAACAGGATTGCGGTTTGTCAGGAAGAACGGTGTCCTAGACACGTCGTTCCTCCCCAAAGCTCCAATCTTCATCACTATTGCTTTCAATGTCAAATCCTCGAGTTTTGATGACTTTAGATATGCTTGTAGGAGAAATTTTCGAAGTCCTTTTGCACCTTTTTCGAAGCCCATGGTTTCAACAGCCTCCAAATAGGCTTTTCCGACCACTGAATTGCGCAGCCGAGAGAATAATTCTTCGGCTGACATAATATTAGCCTTATGGATCGCACTTGTAACCTCTTTCAATTCGGTGCCCACGTCTTCTTTTTTCCTTGGATATTGACCCGATACTTCCAATTGTCCATGGAAAATAATGAGGGGAATTTGGTGGTTTCCAGCATTCACAGGGCTTGTGATGATGTTGAGGTAACATGTTGTCACACGACTTTCATTCTCATCTTTTCTTCTGGTCCTCTCTTTCCCTCCACCTTTCTGCTTTGCGAATTTGTACTGAAGGGAGAGAAAGCCGACTTGCTTGAGATTGGCATCTTTTGATGCAACTGTTTCGAATGGGTCAGTAATCGATACATTGAATCGATTGCACAAAGAAGACTTGCTCGAAATTGGAAGTTTATCTTCCTCCAGGACCTCCACTCTTTTGATTCCCGGAGGCACTGCTTTCGAACCCACGAGAAGCAAATCGTGGCTGATTTCTTTAGCACCTCTGTACTTCTGCGGTGGCAAAGGTGCCTCAGAGTCCTCGATAGCCTGGAATCGCGTGGATGGAAAGAAAAGGGAAGATATCATCTTTCCCGACTTGTCCCATGGCTGCAGACTAAAGATTTGCGGATAGGGATGTGTTGACCTTTCAATCATTGCATGCAACCTTCCATTTTCGACTGTTACGTTGAATGGTATTTCTACCAGAAAATGCTCGTCTTCAAACATATCTTTCTTCAGTAACTCTAGATACTGACGATACGGGTTTGTGTACGGACTAATGAAAAGTTTCGTCGTTCCTCGAATGACAACTGATCCCGTAGTGTGCAAGGTGTCCATTGGCATTCCTATTGTACCGCTTGTCAGGTTGCAAATAATCTCCAACATATTATTGTAGGTCTCCCCTTTTCGAACTTCGGCCAGTGAGTCCCAAAAAATCTCCTCCGCTTGGTCCACCTCCGCGTCAACAAAATATTTCAGCCTAGCTGTGATGTTCAGCCCCATAGTTTCAGTGACATTATTTCCCAACAGAGACTTCCATTTGCGGTCCAAACGGATACCCGTAGCTACTCGAACGACCTTAATGGCAAAGGGTGCTTTGTTGCGAACGTGGAGACGTGCAATTGCAGTATTTTTTTCGGTCGTCAAATGAAAATTGAGCTCTTCCGGTTCCACCTTCAGTAAACAGGATTCTGTCATAGGTGCGGGCCCTTGTATTGGGTTACCCGCTGCTGTTGAAAGCGCCAGCAAAGAGACGTCGTCCTTCATTTGCTTGAGTCCAATGTAGATTGGTCTTTCGTCAGTTTCAAGCTTGACAAAGCCAAGACTTCGGTGTTTGTCTGGGTGATCACAGGCCGCGAAATTTCCAAAGTCTGGAGCTTCGGATAGATAATCGTCTTCCCTTGATGATCGGAGAAAAGGAACTGGATCATTCGAATTGGCGAAATTAGTCCCTACGTCATGCACTACCGTACATATCGTGGCCACGTAATTTTCAGTGGAATCAGGTGGTAAGATCATTGGTCCGCCACCATATCCGTTCCCAACTTTGGCTTGGTTTGCATATCTCCAGTGTCGAATTGTGGGCGAAGGAGGAATTCCATGCTGTACGGGCTCTGCGCTGGCGTCCAGCAAATCAAAAAACCTCCTCCTAGGATCGAATTCGACACTCATGAGATCGGGTCGGGATACCATGATTTCGGTGATCCGTTTAGCTTGTTGTGGGTCTGGATTCGAAAGATAGAGGTCATAGCAGTCTTTCTGCGGTGGCTGTGGTGTATCGTCATTCGCATCACCCATGTTTCCTTGGGTAAGGCCAAAGTTGATTGCAAACAGCAAATGAGCAGCTGGTGTAGCGGATCGTGGTATCGATGAGATATCACAGGCTTGATGGTATTCTCGCCGAGCGGAAGCGGCAGTCGCTGCTGCCGTATCGTGACGAAAGTAAATGGTATCTGGAATTCCTTGCGGATTGGTCCGGACACTCGATGCAGCCAGAGGTACTTTTTGAACACCTCGTGAGGTTTTTAATAATAAAGTCGTTCGAACCTGATATTCATCACCACCAGGTGAACCGTTCCAGTCCAAATTGCCTCTTGGTTGGAATGTATCCTTCTTGAAAGAGTTTACCGAAGCAACCAAGTTATCATACGCCTTGCCCTTTATCTGATTTAAGAGTTCAGGCCCAATCATATCCTTCCAGTCCAATTCAAAAATCGAGGAAGATGCTGCTGGAAACGTTTGCGCAGTCGAAGGTGTTTCACCTGTTTTGGAATCGTTTGCTTCCGTATCATCAGCCGTATCGTCATCTCTATTTCCTGTCAGCTCTACTTGTGGATAGTGTGGGAAGAAGGTAAAGGGTACTTTTGCCCTTTGCCCTGGTTCCAACGACAGACTTCCCGAGGGCAATCGCGATAGATGCAGTTGCTGCGGAATCGATTCGTCGTCCCAGATTCTTCCTGGATCCTCTCCCCAAGATTCGCGAATAATAGAAGTTTGCTCCAGCGTTTTTTGAATGGAATGGATAAAAATAGTTTCCGTAGGATGCTGTGAATTGCAATTTGTGAACATGGATCAAGTGTGAGAAGTGATGTCAATAAACAAGAGGATTCAAAGTAGCTGTATCGATTCCACAGGTGCGTTTGGAAAGAAAGCAAGGGAGGCAAGGGCAACTAAACGCAAGTTTTCTTGTTTTTTGTTCTCAATCTTTCCAAAAGCTCATTGTGCAAAACAACTCTTTGGTATCTCGTTCAAACTCACCGTGTTTCTCAGTTCCAATTCACCATATGCTTTTTGACATGATGGCACCCTCATCAACATTGGAACGGAAACCTGCAATTGGGTCCCACTCTTTGCGTCGAGATCAGGGGTTGAAATAGTAGTCGCAATTGTGGGAGTTTTAGTAGAAGCCACAGCACTGCACAATGCGAAGGAATACAGCAGCACCAATGGCCACACCAAAAACACCAAGCACGTCCTCCTCATGGTCGTTCTTCCATTCGAACAAAGAAGATTCATGATTGCAACGACAATGAAGAACAGCGATTAGTTTTCTGCTCGCATTCCGGAATGGCACGTCTTGTTATCCAGTGCAGAGTGTGAGATTGAGTTGTTTATAGGCACTGGTTGTAGCTTGAAGCCAAAAGCACTCGGGATCTCTCGTTATCATTTACTTGGGACTTGTGCTGAACTCGTGACTGATTCGAGTCATCAGTCAGTCATCTCATTTCCTTGTGGGTGACAGCTGACCACCAGTGAAAGCATGAAAGCGAGACGTGCTCGAAGGTTTTTGTCGGGGGCGTGTACGAAAGGGGGAAGACCGACAGTCATCGTGAACAAAAAAGGCAAGCAAGATCAAAGAAGCAGAAAACATTTGTGGAGAAAACAGGAACATCGTTCTGGGAATCGATCGTGGATCTTTGTAAAGGTATTGTCCCTTTCAATTGACACATTCGCATTCAAATACACTGAATCAGCAACATAGAAGTTGCAGCTCTACACAACAGATATTGATAGAACTATCTCATTGAATCCCTTTTCGTCATTTCGATTGTTGCCACATTACACTTCTAAAGGATGATGGAGAAAGCTTCAGATGACCATAGTGGTGACAGTGCCGAGATAGACGCTGAAAATATGGAGCGAAAAGAGACTACCAGCGGTCCAGCAACAGGAGAAGCAGCCAATTCTCCACTGCATGACAGTGTTTCTGATGATACCTTTGAAGATTTGGCAGAGTTGGGTGTCCAGCCACATCATACGTGGAAGAAGGATAGTAGACATAGTGGTGGAGCTGCAGCTGATATGCCCACGACGCTACTACGACGGGCTAGTTCGGGCGCGAGTAACGGAACCCGACGAAGTGGTGCTAGTGCGTCTTCAGGTCGATTGTCACCAGCCAAGGATGACATGATTAGAGCAGAATATGATGCAGAGATAGTAGAGGCAATTTCGTCGGATGTGGAAGACTCGGATTATTATACCAGTGGAAGTGAAGACGAGTATAGTGACAGTGACACAGATGCCGTAGGTTGCTTGAGTGATACAGAGGAGCCTACGGAAGCAAATGCAATGGCTTCCATCGGCTCTGAAGAAAAATCAGGAGCCGCAACAGAAGAAGGAGCTGCTGCCGCCGCCGCAGAAACCAAAAAGAAGAAGAAGGAAAAGAAGAAAAAGAAAAAAGAGAAGGACAAGAAAAAGAAGCGCTCCTCCAAAAGATCATCTACTTCTACTCGTGCCAATAGATCTGTCGATGGCTCCACGAAGTCAGCCACCGACAAAAAGAAGAAACGAAAGAGCAGGGCCTCGGGCGCCTCGGACAATAAGAGAAATACAGATGAGCAGACAGCGGAAAGAGAGGCGCAAAAGGAGCTAATCCTAAAACTCCAAAATCAGCTTTCGGAGGCTCTTCACAAGGTTGTAACAACGACCGAAGAACACATCAATGACAAGAATAGCTTCCTCAAAGTATCGACGGAACTGGCAGAACTAAAGGGACAAATTAAAGCGCTCACAAAAACCCACGAGGATGCTCAGACGACCATCGGAATTAAGGAAGCCACCATTTCCGAACAAGAAAACCGTATTAGCAAGTTGGAGAAGGCCGTCGAACGACAATTGGACCTTCAGGAGGAATTGGAATCCAAAGTAGATCGATCAGAAGAAGAGATCAACAAATTACTAGAAGAAATTGAGGAATTGGAAAAGCAGCAACTGGAGGTTTCGGCAAGAGGCGAAGGGGCACCAGTTGGAGGAGCGGTCGCCGCTACAAGTCGAGCTCTCCAAGCTGAGCTGGACAAATGCAAGGCGCAACTCGAGAAAAAAGAGAAGCAAATAGAGGAATACAAGACAGCGGTTGATGAGCTGGAGAAGGATCTAGAAGAGGGTCGCACTATCAATCGATTACAGGTCAATGAGATGGAAGAAACCAATATCTCGCTGCAGGGCAAGCTCAAGGCAGAACGATTAGAAGTATCTCGAAAACTTGAGCAAAAGGATGATATCATTAGTGGATTGCAAAAGGAAATCGACAACTACAAACGAACGGACGACGTCCAAGATTTGGTGACAGCACGAGAAAAATTAAATGCGACACGGATCGAGCTGGATGAAACTAAGGCTGCTAAGGAAGCCAGTATGAAAGACTTGGCAGCTTTGAATCGGGAAAAGGAAGACTTGCAAGAAAAGCTAAATGTGCTTACGACCCAAACGACTACCCTCCGACAAGATAATAAAGAACTGGAAGCCAAAGCCAAGAAGTCGCATTTGCAAGTCCTCGAATGGACTGAGAAAACATACGACTGGAAGTCTCGCGCCGAAGCGGCGGAGAAAAAGCTGCAATCACAAAATGGCGAACAAGATCCTTCTGGCGACGCAGCACCACAAGGCACATTCTTGCAAGCAATCATGGACAACCAAGCCGCCAAGCAACAGCAGCAACGAGGTAGTTCTGGAGTCAATCTACGTAGATCGGTTCAAGGTTGGTTTGGAAAAGTATCTGATGAAGGACCAGCTAGCAATGAAGAATACGACCCGGATGCACCTGTAGAGCAAATGCGAATGCAGAAACTGGAAGAACGTAATGCATCGCTAGACGCTACTGTGGCCCAACTTCGCAGTGAAATTGTCAAGCTTCAATCGTCCCACAAGGAGAAGCTGTACTCCTTGCAAAAGGAAATGGATGCTGTGCGTGGCGAAAACGAAGCGCTTCAGCTGAAGAAAACGACGCTGCAACAGCAATCAAATTGAGCCAGAGCTCTTGACATAGGTCAACACACCCTGCCAACACAATTAGACACAACCTATATATAATAATGTAATGACTAAACACTATGGATGAGATGCAAGATGAATGACGCTCTAAATGTGCTAGCTGGAATTTGCCAGAGATGGTCCTAAGAACTACGATGGTATGATAACTGACGTCTTTCCTGTGGAAGACCTGTCTCTCTCGTTTTTGTCAGCTTTGGACTCTCGCCTCCGCACGACCTTCGTAGTTTGTCGCCAGAAACAACCGAGGCATATCAGCATCGGTAGAAGGACTGTTGCCAAAGCTGCGAACATGAATTCTCGAGATAAAACAAATTCCTTCAGGTTTATTGATTTCGCTTCTGGTTGCCTGTCTGATCTTTGGGTTGCTGGCTCTGCGCTTTTATCCACTTTGTCGTCATCAGTTTCTTGGTCGGCAGTTGCGTCCGTGATAGGAGTATCGTCGTCGTCAACATTAGTGCAGGACACCACGTTGTTACCAAAGTCGATATAGTCCAGCTCTACAGCTCCAGTCTCGTTGAATTCAACAAGATTTTCGTATTCTGAAACATACGAATCAAGCAAGACTTCTTGCTGCAGACAATGGAGTTCAGAATCCTCCGGTATTACTCCCGACAGAACAAAGACAAAACTTCCAGCAAAGGAGACATTGACTCTCACAAACGGCCACTCAAGTTCAGCTGACGATGGCAATTTATCTAGTTCCAAAGCATAAAAGAAGCGATAAGCTTGCTCGAATTCTGTTTGAAGAAACGACCCGACAGAGTCCTCAACCACATTGTCTACATCATTGTCGTAGTAGTCTCGGCTTTGTAGAAAGGTGATGTTAAAAGGAAGAATTGGTCGTTTGACAAAGTGTAGCTGAACTACCGAATCTCTTCTTCTTGTAATACTCTCGCCCGGAAGAGAAGTTCCAAGGGTAGAAAGCAGAGGCAGGAGCACCACCAACATTTTCATCGTCGATCAAATGGTGTGATGTGATGGGTTCGTGTCGACACTTTTGGAAGTTCCTTCCACTTATCAAAAGGCACGTGCCACTTCAACTGCAGAATGTCAAATGCCAGAATTTCATTTGAGGTCGAACTAGTCGAAGTGGAAAAGCGGTCGGAGGAATCGAAGTATCTTTGTAAAAGATTTAAACAGTCACGAATACAATTCAATATACGCATACGTTGAATTTTTAGCTGCAGTATTTGACTTACAGATGTGAGGGAACAAAAAGAAGACAAACGCAAAGCAAATCGGCATCCAATAATTCCAGCATGAGCCAATCAATAGTTGAATTCCTCGACGAGGAGTGCCCTCCCATGGAAGATATATTCGGAACCAACGATGCGACAAATCAGCCGAGACGACCTAGAAAGAAGCTAAAACAAATGCTGACATCGGTTCCATTTTTCCTTCTACTGGGGCACCTTGTCCTCTCGGGTTTGACCATAACATTCATCACGCAAAACGATCGTATTTCGTTCCAATCTCAGGTGAGTGGAGCCATGGGTCGGTGCTAGGACCCAATGCCACTTTCCCAGAAGCAAATTGTTCTCACATATTTCACTCAAAGTTCAAAAGTTATGCCGATCAATTGTTGGACAGTTTTCGTTCCAAGTTCCTCGGTGATTTTCTCATCTTGGATGCGCTAAGTATCGAAATAAGCTCGCAAGTTGCTCACGGCAATATGATTTGGCCAATGGTCACAATACCCGACTTTGCAGAAATCGCTGGGAATGCACGAAAACAGCTAAAAGCCGAAACCTTGGGACTCCTTCCAGTCGTAAAGGGCAACCAACGGGAAGAATGGGAACAATATGTCATGCAAAATCATGAATGGATTCGAGAAGCCAAACTATGGGAGAAAAGTAAAGAGGAGTCACCAGCGATGGAGGCTGCAGAACAAGATATTCCTGGAGCTAGGAGTGAAGGAAATGATAGGGGCCTGCTAGAAGAAGGAAGTCATATCTCATCAAGCAATAATGGGTCTACGCCAGCAAACTTTTCATCAGGAATATCCAGCAAAATTTTCACACTTTCCAAAGATGGAGAAGCGATTGTCGATGAAGGTTCAGGTCCCTTTACGCCTATTTGGTTGACGTCTCCAGCTCCACCAGAGACCAAAAGCATCAACTACAATCTACTTTCGCATCCCACATTTTGGCAGGCAATTGATAGCGCTGTGGATAGTCGTGATGCAGTGCTAAGTATGGTATTGAATATTGAATCCAAACATGAAGTGGTGACTGGAACTCCAACAAAATATGAGTACGATCCCATTAGTGCCATTTACTACCCGGTTTTCGACAATAATTCAGAGGACCGTGAGCTTGTTGGTCTCTTGGTATCAGAGATCGCTTGGACTCACTTTTTCGAAGACGCTCTGCCGAAATCTGCAAAGGGATTAGTTTGTGTGGTGGAAAATGCGTGTGGCCAGACGTTCAGCTACAAAGTTGACGGAGGATCTGCCACCTTTCTTGGTCGTGGCGATCTACACGATCGATCATTAGATGATATGGTGATTACAAAAGGGATCTCCTTCTTCGTCGATGTACCAGGCGATTTTTCAGCTGCACCATTTGACTTCGAGCACTGCCCGTTTGACATCAACGTCTACCCATCCACTGAACTAAAAGAACAACATGCTTCTCCACTGGAGCTTGTGTTTTGGTCCGCTGTGATCATATTGGCTTTGGTTGGCTTCGCTGTATACCAAAGGAAGTACAAAAATACTACAGACAATCAATCGATTGTTATACTGCAAAGAGATTTCGAAGCAGACAAGGGAGAGGCATCATTGGTCGAGAAGGCAAATTCAGCCATGCAATCCGCCCTTTATAAATTATCAGGTCGACATGGTATTTCAACAAGCAAGTTCAGGGCCACCACGAAGAAGATGCCATCGCAATTCGAAGACATGGAGCAAGAAGAAGATTCAATGTCCTATGCGACAGTGATGTTTGCAGAAATTGCTGGGTTCCGCAGATGGAGTGAGGGAAAGGGACAAGAAGAAAAGGAAGAAATCATCAATTCTATTGTTAACATATTTGGTGCCACTGCAGATCAACACGGCATTGGTCAATTTGAGACTGTTGGTCATTGCTTTGTTGCGATTTCGGGAAAGAAGGAAGCAGGAAGTGAACATGCATCGGCAATTGTTCACTTTGCTGCCGAATCTCGAACTAAAATGATGGAACTCTTCAAGAAAATGTCTGCTCCAGAGCTATCCATGAGATTTGGCTTGAATAGTGGATACCTCCAGACAGAGGATCAGAGGTATCTAGTATTTGGTGACACGGTTGAAACAGGACGGCATATGTTGAAGAAGGGAAAGCCAAACAAGATTCACGTGTCGGTTGATACTGCCGAATTATTGAATCTAGAAGGCAATTCCAACTGGCTCTCGCCACGCAGCCATCCTGTGGTCATCAAAGGAATTGGCAGCATGAATTCGTTCTGGATCAAGACGAAGTACTTCCAATCCGAAAATTCTATGGACGTCCTGGATGATATGTCAACGGCCACAGGGTCGACAATAGGAACACTAGGAGAAGAAGATCTTTGGGATGAAACAACTCGCGGTAACAGCACCGATCCAAAGCAAAATTTCGACGGCCGATTGAAGAAAATTGTTGATCGTAACGTCATGATGCTACTTGGCTATTTGAAAAAGATTCAAGCAAGGCGAATCACAATGCAAAAGCTATCCCCAAGGATCAACAAAAGGACAGAAGCAGAGATCAACGTTGGGGAAAACATGATTGAAGAGGCCAGGGAACTTGTCATGTTGCCAAACTTTGATTCCAATCTTGCAGCAAATATGGTCAACAGTGATCTTGTGGTGCTACCAGAAAAAGTTGAAAAGGAACTACGGCTCTACGTCTGGTCCATCGCTTCGAGCTATCATGCAAATGAATTCCACAACTTTGAACACGCTACCCATGTTTCCGTATCTATGAACAAGATGCTACAGAAGCTTTCGACCACAAGTGCTGCCGACAAGACTTACATTGGCTTTGGTGGAAAGCGTTCGACTACAGCAGAGCTTGCCGCCGAGTTGGACAATCGTTCCTTTGGAATTGCTTCCGATCCACTGACAGAGTTTACCTTGATGCTTTCATCATTGGTACACGATGTGGATCACGCTGGAATCTCCAACTATCAGCTAATCAAAGAAGAATCTCCGCTGGCGAGTCTATACAAAAACAAAAGCGTTGCGGAACAAAACTCGGTGGACATTTCTTGGTGGCTGTTAATGACACCAAACTTTTCATCGTTACGAGAAGCTATTTACTATGATGCCTCTGAGAAGCGTCGATTCCGTCAGTTGCTGGTCAACTGTGTGGTTGCAACAGACATTATGGATCGAGATATGAAGGTACACAGAGATCGGAGATGGGCCAAAGCTTTCAAAACATCCAAAACTACCACCAAATTGTTTGAGACGATTAAGTCGAAAGACTTGCAAGCTACTGTAATGATTGAACACATGATCCAAGCAGCAGACGCTGCTCACACAATGCAGAATTTCCGCACATACTTGAAATGGAACGAACGGCAATTTGAGGAAATGAACAAAGCCTTTCATGATGGTCGAGAAGACATGGATCCAGCTGGGAATTGGTACAAGTGTGAGCTGGCCTTCTTTGACAAGGTTGTCATTCCACTGGCCAGGCGCCTGAGGGATTGTGGCGCATTTGGCGAGGCTGGGGGTGAGTACTACAGAAATGCCAAAGAAAATCGAGACATTTGGCAATCGAAGGGAAAGGGTATAGTAAAAAGAATGGTGAAGAGCTACGCTCAGAAAGTGGCTGCTGCGCAGGAAGATACGATTGTCTTTTCCTAGGCAGTACCGGTACAGGTATCATACTGAGGGTGTGAAAAGAAAATGACAACGCGATAATGCTAAAGCTGTTTTCTGCTAAAATGCATTGCTTACTCATACTACTATTGTGAATAATCCAGCATTATTGTTATATTCTCCTTTTGCATTCCGTTTGTGCCATTCATACCAGGTACAGTACAGTAGCAGGTACCAGTGCTGTGCTATTCAGTACGGTACTGTATATTTTCAATTTTGATCACTCGGAATCAAGCCACGACTTGGAGCACCTCTGTGACTGACTGATCTCGGCTGGCGCGCCGAAACCGGATCGGTCAAATTCCGTGTTGATTTTGGCTTACGGGAAAAAAAAGAGATGGCCATATTTTCTTCCGACATAACTCAAAATCCACTATTTACTTTGGATTGCCAAATCACACCATGAAACGAATTTTGGCTACACTCCTCTGCATACAGACAGTCTTTGCTGGAGACTTTGATAGATTTAATTCGCTCTTTAAGGATGCGTCGATCAACATCTCTGATGACTTTACCTTGACACAGAAAGTCTTGTTGACAACCCTGAAGCTATACATAAGAAACATCCGATGCTATAGTATATCAGTCGAGGACATTTCCGTGAAACACGATGAGAAAAGCAAGCAGCAGATCGATGTCTTGGTGGATGTTTCCGATCTCGATCTTCGCTGTGACGTTGACTACCAATACGAATACGGATTCTTACACGGAACCGGAGTTGCAGTCGTATTGACGGACAACAACTCCTTCTCGTCGACGTTAACCTTTCAATCCCAAAATTTCGATGAATTTCCACCCGGTGAATCATCAGCTGCTGCTTGTAACGCAAATATTCAAATCACAAGTATCGACTTTGTCGGCGATTTCATTTCCAACGTTATCGAAGTCGCTGAAGGTATGATCAAGGGCCTCATCGAAGACGAAATCGAAAAGGTGGCATGTCAAGAGCTAGGCTCATTAGGAACATCATTTGTTGGAGATATGCTGGGACTCGCTGGAGATATGCTAGATCAATACAAGGGTGACTTGGGTCCATCCGTCAATGATCCACTGCACCTCGAGAATACATTGTCCCTGCCTGAAGGCTTTGCTGGTTTCAACCTACAAAACAGCGATACCGTTGTTGGAAAATTCTTCAACCAAGCCATCCAACAAGCTGCGAACCTTTTGGGTGCGACGGTCCCGGATCCCAGTGGTCCCAACGCTAGTCGACTCGATTTGGCCATTAATGTGTTGATGCGATCCAACTTTTTGGATGGAAACCGAGCGCTCTTTGTTGACATGAGTAAGCTACCTATGGATGCGGTTCTCTTCAAAGGGCACGATCAAATTACGGAAACGACGATTACTCTCAACTCGGTTCGATTGCTTGGTCTCGATACCTTGGACCGATTCAACTCTTTGGAAACCATCGGCAAGTACACCCTTCAGAATTCCTTGAATTGGAAGAGTCTGCGAGTGGAGTTTGATGTCACGGTGGATATTCTACCATCCACAAGAGAGGACGCCATCCTTCAAGACTCTACTTCGAAAGGAATCAGTGAAAGAATCAGCATCGATTTTGGGGCCGACAACATTGAAGTTATCGCGTCGCTATTGGCGGTCATTGATGAAGAGAAATTGGGTTCTATGGAAATTGGTCCACTACTGACGCAAGACAACCTGTTGCCATGTGCCCAATCCCTTGTCCATAAACTTGAGCTTTCTGGTATGCATGTCGATCCACTTGTCATGAGAGTGCCGACATTGAACGGATTTGTGTCACCTGGTCTTGACCGACTTGTCACCAGTTCGGTGGAAGCTGCCTTTGCCATGTACATGGGGGTTCTGCAAAAAGCCATTCCAAACATTTTCCAAACCAGTGTTCGCGACTTTATCAACAATGACCTTCTTTCCTCAAACATTTTCTCGCAAAACGGATCCCCATGTCCTGAACCCAAGGATGTCAGTGGATTCGTTGACTTCCGAGATCTATTTCTGCAACCATGGATCGCAAAAAGTAAGGGTGGAAGTGGTACCATGCCATATGGTGATATTGCCTACACCCTGAAGGGACTCCTTGACGAAGAACTCTTGGGAACTGATGCAAATGGACTACTCGAGCTGAACTCATTCATTCGACCAGCTACGGAGGCACAGTCTGGAACTGTTGGAACACTCAATCTGCTGTCGGATTCAGTGTCGGTTGTCAAGACGAAATTTGCGAATTCATACATTCATTCTTTTGTGGACCGTTTTGAAGTTGGCCTTTCGGGTGTTCGCATCAACAATTTGGATACGCTTGTACCACCTATTCAGCTCCTTGAAACAACGACATCACCACACACTCTGGAAAACAGCCTCAATATTGGTCCAGTCTCAAATCGGCCACTTAATTTGACTACAGGCTTTCGCTTTGTGGTAGAAGGAGAGAATTCACCATTGAGTATGGCCCATGACATCGAGTTGGGAATCTCCTTGACTTCGGCAAAAATTGAGGCAGACATCCTTGCCACAATTGACGCGAATGGCTTTCTTCACTTTCCTCTTCAAAACATTTTGGTCCCAGAGTGCTGGTTGGCTCTGATTCCAGCCCCAACCGCAGTAGGATCTGGTGTTGGTGTTGGTTTGTCGGTCAATGACGTTGTTATGGCTTTTGATACATTTGACATTGGAGTCAATATCATTTCAACTACAAGCCTAGGAATGGGTGCCTTTACAGACTTGCTTGATATCATCAAGGATTACCGAGGCCTCGAAATCCTGAAAGATCGCATTGGTGGATTCGTGGCGCAAATCTTGGACGAAGACAACATCCAAACGCAAATTGATCGAGCCTTGGTTGATGCTCCAAGACTTTGTCCCCACAGTCCCCAGTATGAAAGCGACTTCAAGGCTGATGGATCGACTTCTCTAACTTTCCCAAATCTCACACCAGAAATCGTTGACTCGCTGTTCTTTGCAGCTTCCTTTGTGGCTGAGATTGGTTTTGTGGCATTCTTGGAGGATCAGTCTCTGAGAGATTGGGGAACCACTTCAGCACTGTCAGCTCAAGAGAGAGTTGAAACACCAAACTCATTGTTGAACTTGACCAATACTGAGGGCAGCCTTGGAAATCTTGTTGACTTGGCTCTATCCGAAGCAAGCAGCTACCTTGGAGGTACCGTGGGAGAGTCTCGCGACGACCTTCGCGTCAACGAGTTGATCAGAGACTGGGTCCTTGATGGAGCATCTGACTACACGATTGAATTTAATGAATCTTTTGAGCTTCCCGGTGTCAAGCTTGAGATCATTTCACTGACCTTTGCTGGAATCGACTCTTTCACAAGCTTCTCTATTTTGGACATCATTGGGCCCCAGACAATTTTGAACACAATGGACATGAAAGAGCTGTCCTTGACGTTTGAAGTACGAGCTATCGATACGACGACAAGAGCTACCATGCAAAACTTTAAGATCTCTTTGGCCTTGGAGAACATTAGAGCGGAAGTCCCGATTTTTGTTGCAATCAATCGAGACGACTTGGCGTCGATACCACTCAGCACACTCATGCAAATGGAAAACATGTATTCATGCATCCTCAGCAAGGTGCAATCAATTGAAATGACACAAATGAATGTGACCTTTGATGCTTTTAAGAGGCCGAAAATTGAAGGTCTATTGTCAGATTCAAACAAGATTCTCCAACAGTTCACTGATGAGCTCCTAACGCGCTTTGGAAACACAATCCAGTCAGCACTTCCAATGGCAATTGACCATACCCTTCGTCCTCTGCTCAATGGTTTGGCAGAAGTTTACCTGGAAGGAATTGAATGCAAGCAAAACCAGATTGCTGAAAGTATTTCAGGCTTCGTTGACTTTAGGAAGCTGTTCTTGCCCACAGCGACTGCTCGCTCATACGGTGCTGCTGAAGAATCGCAATATGGAGACCTCTTCCCTTGGCTGTTTGGAATCTTTCAAGATCTAGTTTCCGACGTTGATGCGAACACTGGCCTTTCTGGAGTGAACAGGGGTATCGTTTCGGGACTCCTCAAGTCCTATTCTGGTTCCCCTACCAGTCTCATTTATCCTGGTGATCTGTACAACGGCGGTTCTAGGGTTAGGGTAGGTGGTTTAGATGCGACCATCCAGCTCAAAGCGAGCGAAGCTCGCATTGAGAACCTTGATACATTGGGATCTCCAATTTCTATCCTTGAACCAGTTATGGACGAACCTTATGAGTTGAACAACACAGCTACTTTAGGCACCAGCGATAGGCCACTGAGATTTGCGATGAGACTGTTGGTATCGATGATCGGAGATGATAAGATGCAATTGAGTAATGATGTTGAGATCAGCCTCGATTTGAATTCGGTCACTATTGTATTACATGCAATGTTGAAGATGCTGGAGAGCCGACTATTCAACTTCCCATTAGGGGATGCGCTCGATTACAACTGTTGGTTAGCAACGATCCCGGCGCCGAAACTCGATTCATATGGACTCAGAGATGATGCATCACTTCCTACTGCAGAGTTAAAGGAAATCCTTGCTGCGGTTGCAAGCATGAATCTTAATGTGTCGTGTGTCTCATGTACAAGTCCAAGAATGTCTGAGTTGTCTGGTTTGCTCTCGACAAAAGAGGCACAGGATGACATGACTGCGACTGCAAACGACATTCTTTCATATGCCAAAGAGCTTGCGGACGATGGCTTTATGCAGATTCAAATTGACCGTCTCCTCAACGATGCGGCAAGAGCATGCCCACATAGTCCGAGCTATGAAGCAAATGCTGACACCGTTGAGTACAAATCTCTTGGTACAAAATCACATGAGTTTTCTATCGCATTCCTTCTAATGCTGACAGCACTGGCAGGATCAATTATCCTCGCTTTCTTTCTGCTCGCACTTGTCATCAGGTGTTTTGTCCGTCGTCGTCATAATCGATGGCTCAAATCATTGCCACCAAACCAAGTCAGCCGACTTGCCCGTGATCAAGATGAGGAAAAGCAAGAAGCAGCAAGATTGAATGCTTCAACAACACCCATGTACAGGAGTTCTGAGATCCCTCTATTTGTTCGACTTGCAATGCCTCTCATCATCATTGGAAACATTGGATTCTTCATGAGTGGACATTTGAGTCTTGGAGCAACAGTCAACATCGAGGGTGAACTTGCAGGACAGAAGATAAGCGTTGGCAATTTTTTTGAATTCTCTATGGCCAAGTCCACTGTCGACATTTGGAATGCAGGAGGCAAAGAGTTGGCTATTCTGATCTTGGTTTTCTCTGGTATCTGGCCATACACAAAGCAACTTATCACATTGGTTTTGTGGTTTTTGCCTCCATCACGATGCTCCGTTGCTCGGCGGGAATCCATCTTTTTGTGGCTAGATTGTCTTGGAAAGTGGTCGATGATTGATATTTTTGTCCTTGTGATCAGTATCGCAGCATTCAGAATTTCTATCGCAAGTCCAAGTGTCGGTTTCCTTCCCAAAGAGTTCTACTCGCTTGATTTGTTGGTTGTCCCCCTCTGGGGTCTTTACGCCAACATGATTGCCCAATTGATCTCGCAGGTCAGCTCGCACTACATCATTCATTATCACCGACAGATTGTAAAGGCAGCCGAATCCAGAATCGAACAAGAAGAAGCACCCCTGAAGATCAATGCCACTTGTTCCACTGATGATGATTCTGCAACAGGTTATCCAAAGGAAGTGAACAAGATTGCGCCACATCAACACCGCTTTGGTCGCCCTCACCGAGGCGAAACAGACAAGTTGGTCGTCAAGCCATGGGTCAACAAAGCGCTCCTCTTCTGCAGCATTTGCCTCTTCGCTACTGTTGCCTACGGCAGTGTTGCAACATCCTTCTCTCTTGAAATTCTTGGAATCATTGGAGTTGCCGTCGAATCAGGACAGAACTTTGCCGATGCCAAGACTCCACACAGCGTCTTGACGGTTGTGCAGTTGCTTTTTGAAGAAGCTAGCTTTTTGGACACTGCGAGTGATTACATTGGACTTGGGACATTGTCCCTTCTGTTTGTCTTCACAGTGCTTGTTGTTCCACTTCTTCAATCACTTGCCTTGCTACGACAATGGTACAAGCCATCTACTGGAGATGAGAAAGTCAAGATGTCGATCATCATTGAGATTCTTCAAGCATGGCAGTATGCCGAGGTCTACCTTATCGCTATTTTTGTTGCCAGCTGGCAACTTGGACCTATCTCCGAATTCATGATCAATTCATATTGTGAATCGCTAAAGGAAAGCTTGGGAGAGCTAGTGTACTACGGTATACTGAAAGCCGAAGATGCACAATGTTTCAGTGTCGAGTCTACAATTGAAGGAGGATCTTATATTCTGGCCCTCGGTGCCGTTTTGCTTGCCATTACGACATCATTTGTCAACAAAGCCATCATTCAATACTTCCGCGACGTCAAGAAGGAAGAAAACATTCAAAAGGGAGATGCTTGGGAATCTGACAGCGACGCCGAAAGTGGCGAACTCAAGGCCCCCAAAAGCCGAATCCAGCCTGTCCCAGTTCTTTTCACCGACTCCTTCCGCTGGCTAATGATGCGGGATGACCATCGCGGTTGCAGCAACAGCTTTGTTTCGGCATTTGGAAAATTCAGCACGTCTTCTACTAGAGACGGGTCATCCGCCGCACCAGAGACTTCTCCCATGATGGAAAATGTGGAAGGTGCCAATGACCAACAACAACAAGTTTCAGTGGAACATTTCGAAGACGAATCGGGATGGTCCTCTGCGGACGAGGAGTCCACCCAAAATGCCACACCATAGTGGTGTGCGCACTTGCGACAAACCCTTTTTTTAAAAACCAAACCATGATATAGACTATTCACCCAATAGACCATAAATGTATTAATATACTGTACTTTTGAACTCATTCAATCAAGAATCAAGTCCGCTTGTTTGTCTCTGAATATGAAAGGCACCATAGGCATATCGGTCCAAGATACCACCCGTTGGAATCATAGAAGCTGCCAATTCGTGAGTGTCACTAGAAATTGGAACCGAAACAACCGATACATGCTGCAAAGATTTCAAGCGAGGCACCACGACATCCAACCACCCGTATCGATCCGTGACTTGAACCACCCAAATATCGACGCGTTGGTTGTTGTTTAGTAGTAGCTGTTTTAAAAGTTTGGAACAGGCTTCTGCCGTCTCTTGGGTATAGACCAACTCGGATCCAATGACAAGATCAATCGAATTCCGAAATGGTGATGATTCGTCGCACTCTTCATTCCAGTCCAAATGTTGCACTTGAATATCCAACAATGCATCCGGTGTTGAGGCGGATGAAAGAATTGCATCAAGATTTCGTTCCGCATTCAGCTTGAGTCTCTCCAGAACGGGAGGATCATTGTCTGACAGGATGATTCTATGGTGATCATCCATGTTTTCTTTCCGAGCCATTGCAACGGCACATGCCAATCCTGACAATCCCACGGCGCCACTCCCAAGTTCGAGTACCGTCTTGGTGGATGGTAGCATCGGGATTTTGTTGGTCAACACCATACTGGCTAATAATGCCGAAGCATACCAGGCATCAGCTCCCAATGGACTCCAAATGCCATTGGACGCCGCCAGAGACTCAAGATGTAGGGTTACCTGGGTGGTAGGAAGCCGATAGGCGACAGGCTTCGATCCATCAATGGTATCATCACCGTTGCTATCGTCGTCATCGCCCCACGCTCCATTCTTCTCTCTGTTGCTTGTAGGTTCCTCCTCTAGAGCAATCTTCCAAAAGTCGTCGTCGTCCCCTTCTGGTGCTGGTAGTGTCATGGTTGAAACATGGAGGATGGAAACGCTAGGTACCAGGTACTGTATGCTTCAAACGGGAGTTTTGGTGGTTGGTGTTTGAGTGCGTGTATAGTTTCAAGTTGGTGTCATTTCCCTCGTGACTGACTCGTATAGAATCGGTCACGGATGTCAAATGCAAATTGAAAATTCACATCAAAACCTCCAACTATAAAACCATCAGCAGAACAACACATCCTCATCACCACAGATTATCTCCAATATTCTCATTTCACGAAACGATTCTGTATTTACCACTCTTCTTTCCCTTTTCAACACTAATGGCGACTCCAAAAATGGTCCCAGAATTCCTGGTGGGACTCTGGCACCGTGATTACATCAAACGAGCCAACAAAAACAAGGAGGATGGAATCTTCGGGCCACCGCAGACCAACGTGCAAGTCTGGTACCTACAAACCCCCTTCGCCTTTATCGACGTTCGTCGGGAACCTGGTACAACCAAAGATGCCATGGCGTTTGCGGGAGTGACCACTGTGGAACTTACGGATCCACCGTTGGTGAAATGGCATGCCTGCTTGGATTTGGATCCCTTATCAGATTCTGCGGAACGATGGGAACAAGCAGACAAGGCCACACCCAAACTAACCGAAGACGAAGGATTCTTTACACGGCTCAAAGAAAATCTCTATCGAGAAACGGACCCAGCCAAAACTTTGGAGGAACAGTGGGCGAAACAACATGACGGCAACAAACGGTGAGTCTGGACAATGTACATAGGTAGTTGGCATGTTTCAAAAGGTAAGGAAAACTGTTCTAACATTTCTCTTATTGATCGTCACTGCTGTATGTAACTCTACGATGTGAGTAGCTTGTTGGCTGTGAGGCGTGATACATCCTTGTTCGTTGTCGTTGGGGACCACTTTGGGTATGCGGCGCAAGGAGGATCCAATGGAAACGATCAAGCAAGCCCTCAGTTTCTGGCTGGTCATGTAGAGGATTGGAAAGTAGCAATTTCCCCATCTCATTTGGAGCTAGAAGGATCTTCCTTTTCTCTTCCGGGTAAGGTCCTAGTATGATGTGTTGTTCAAGTCTTCTGGAGAAGAAGTCTATATGTCTCACCTTCCACATCTATGTTACCAACTCATCCCGCATTATCCTTCAGGGAAACAAGATGATTGGCATCTGCTGCCGGGATCTACTCTGGAATTGGGATCGTTGGATATCTTGTTTCGATAATATTGCATTCGAAGGAGTCGGATCTTTCGGGACACAACTTCATTTATTTAGTACCCAGTGACAGTGATTGCGATGCACCTCAGCCAAGCCTACCAACCTGCAGTACCTTAGGTTCTAGTAGATAAATATATATCCATGTCTTTTCCTCTATAAAGGAATTCCTCTTAGTAGACTTGAATGTTGAACAGGGAAATAGCTGCAATGCGAAAAATCGACACGATTGATTGATGATGATTTTAAAATTCGTTCTGATGAGTCACCGTCATGGTTGGGTGTAATTTCTTTCTGCAAAAAGCGCGACTCACTCCCTCAAATCGGTTCGTTCTTGTTCCAGTATCTGGTATTGTACTGCAACAACAAACGATTCATTTTGCACTAGTTCGACCACAACAGCATATCCATGAGAAACAGACCAAAATCAAATAGAATACCGACGCTGGTACTCTTTGGCACTCTATTACTGGCCAACTTTGGTCAGCAACAACACTTATCAGTAGCAGAGGCCAGCAGTGAAAACGGTGGTGTGGACGAAATCAACCAACTGCTCGAATCCGCAGAAATATCGATTCCTGGTGAATTCCCCTTGTCCAACCGCGTTGGAATCTTCACCCTCGACCTCGTCATTCGAAATGTGGTCTGTTCCAATCTATCCGTGGGCGACGTGACAATATCTCATGAACGAACCAGCGGTGATCAAGAAACCAATATTGGCTTGGAATTGGCCCACGTTGGCTTGCGATGTAACATGCAATACAATTACCGACTTGGGTTCATCAGAGGCAGTGGAACGTTAGACTTGATTGCGGATGATAGCTCGGCTTCTACAGGTATTAGTTTTCAGTCGCAAGACTTTAATGCATTCCCGCCCACAACTTCGACTCCTGGAGACTGCGTGGCCAATGTGGAGATCACTTCCATCGATTTCCAGGGAGATTTCTTATCCGAGCTTGCCGAGCTGTTCCAAGGACCAGTCAGCAATATCATCGAGGGTGAACTAGAACAATTTGCGTGTGATGAGCTGGGAAGCTTGGATCTGAGCTCTTTGGATCAAGACGTACTGGGCAACATTTCTGATGAATTCGCTCTATATATTGCACCGCTCACAGCAGAGGAAAGAAACCCAATTCTCTTGGAAGATTCCTTGGATATTCCACCAGATATGGCGATACTAGACTTGCAAAATACTACCAACAATGCCAGTGATTTCCTAAATCGGACAGTGACACTGTTGGCAGATGTTTTGTCAGGAGAAACAAATGGGACACTTGATGTCAACGACTTTCTTCGTTCCAACTTCCTTGAAGATGATGGATGTCTGACTTTGAGCTTTACTCAGCTTAAATTGAATACAACCCTTTATGATACACATAATGATTTGGTAGAGCTGTTTATCGCTCTGGACAAAATAAGAGTCTGTGGCCTTGATTCTCTAGAGACCTCTAATATCTTGATGCCAAATGGAAAGTACACTCTACGAAATGAAATGTCCTGGAAACGATTGAGCCTGCATCTTGGGCTCACGATTGACA